AGTTTATTGGATTTGTTCTGCCCTGTACTGGTTGTTGCCTGCCATATATGTAACTGTTGCATGGTGTACTGGTAACTGTGACTCGGGCATGTGTTTGGTATGCTTTGCTGGTTTCGGTACCGTGCACTCCCTCTCTTCCACACTTTGAAACTTTCTTCTGGCTCTAAAAAATTATTTGCCTTTTCTCCTAAGCCATTTTCCTATTTGCCGCCCCTTCTTCCTTTCGTGTGCCATTCACATGAAAGTCTGGACAGTATTGGTCATATCATTTTCTTTCTTCAAGTGAGGCTTTGCATATGACTAGATGGAAATACTCTACTCACTAAGCTGGATAAGCCAAACATCCAGATAAGCAGGAATTCTTACTGGGAAAGTAAAAAATATTAACATTTAAAATTTTTTGTACCACAACCAACATAAATTTAATTTCACACACACTATAATTTAAATAATATACCAATACCTGTACTGTAATTTAAAACAGAAACTTCAACTTGTAGTTCATCTTCTTGTTTGATTTATACTGTAGATCTTGAAATCTGTAGTTCTTGGAAATTTACGTTACCTAACATAACTCTAAAATTTACTGTAAATGAGTTTGGCAAGGTCAGTTCTACATGCCAGCTGCTGAAGCATCACTGGTTGACCGCTCTTGGCTTTCTGGTGAGGCTTTACTTTTCCCTTTTTGCAATATTGTACCTCGCTCTAAACCTGGAAATCTAACTATCACTTGGCCAGAAATCTAGTACATTATTTTTCTAAAGCTGGCTGCAAACATGCTTGCAGCGTTTCTTATTTCTGCACTGCAAATTGTTACACCAACTGTGTGGTGCTGTGTGTATATACACAGCCTCGTGCAACTGTGTGGTGCTGTGTGTATATACACAGCCTCGTGCAACTGTGCGATGCTGTGTGTATATACACAGCCTCATGCAACTGTGCGATGCTGTGTGTATATACACAGCCTCGTGCAACTGTGCGATGCTGTGTGTATATACACAGCCTCATGCAACTGTGCGATGCTGTGTGTATATACACAGCCTCATCCAACTGTGCATAGTGTGCAGGCTTCAAAGTTTTGCTATTACACCTTCTACTAGTGCAAGCTCCCTCACTCATTAGTAGCTATGAATTTTATGTACATAGTGTAGTCATCTTTGTTTCCTTATATCAGAGACGTTATTAGTGGCTATACCAAAATTCCGTGCAACACTCGGCTAACTGGCTATTTTCAGAGATCATTGACACATAACTTATCCTTAATGGTTAGCACAACATTCTCTCTCTTAACACCTCCAGGACAATTGCTACTGCTACCAGACAGTTCTGGCCAAAAATTATTAAATGTCACTATGAAAGCAAAAGTTACGAAAGTTGTTCATTAATGGCGTGGCACTGTGGTATAACATTAGGGGAAGAGAGGACATGTCTTGTTTAGAATGACTGGGCCTGGATGGGTCTGTTATTTAGGCCGCCAGATGAAACATAAATCCCTTAATTTTAACAGGGATTTATAGCCTGTATAGCTATATAGCTATATGTAACCGTCTATAGCCTGTACACAGTTTTTAAGAAATTTTTGTTATAATATTAGATGTTTCTTTCTTTTTTATTGTAATGAAGTGTTTTAATCTAGTTTTTAGTTATACAGTAATCATAGGCCCCTCCATATGACTCCCGCCCCCACAGACGGTCCCTCCTGACTTTCCCCGCCACCCCAGCACCCTCCACCCCAGCACCCTCCACCCCAGCACCCTCCACCCCAGCACCCTCCACCCCAGCACCCTCCACCCCAGCACCCTCCACCCCAGCACCCTCCACCCCAGCACCCTCCACCCCAGCACCCTCCACCCCAGCACCCTCCACCCCAGCACCCTCCACCCCAGCACCCTCCACCCCAGCACCCTCCACCCCATCACCCTCCACCCCATCACCCTCCACCCCATCACCCTCCACCCCAGCACCCTCCACCCCAGCACCCCCCACACCTCAGCACCCTCCACCCCAGCACCCCCCACACCTCAGCACCCTCCACCCCAGCACCCTCCACACCTCAGCACCCTCCACCCCAGCACCCTCCACCCCAGCACCCTCCACCCCATCACCCTCCACCCCATCACCCTCCACCCCAGCACCCTCCACCCCAGCACCCCCCACACCTCAGCACCCTCCACCCCAGCACCCTCCACACCTCAGCACCCTCCACACCTCAGCACCCTCCACCCCAGCACCCTCCACCCCAGCACCCTCCACCCCATCACCCTCCACAAAAGCACCACCCCCACACCCCAGGCCTCGAGTCACTGCTGTACGGGATTAACAGCCTGAAGCTGTTCTCGGTTATCTGGCAACCCAACTTATTCTGGTTCTTGATGCCCAAATACACACATGGAGAAAATGTGTGCAGTACACGTCTAATTGTGCTTGCAGGGGTTGAGCTTTGGGTCTTTGGTCCTGCCTCACAACCTTCAATCAACTGGTGTACAGGTTACCAAGTTTATTGGAAATTTGAAGCTGTATAAGGAGTTTGCCTCCACAATTTCAGTTTTACTGTATTCCATTTGTTCATTACTAGTATTAGTGTAACACTTTTTGCCTTCTAGTAATGCTAAAACATTTCATCCATTCTCTGACAGTAAATGTTCCAATGATGCTAAAATACATATCCATTTCTTATTCATAAACATTTATACAGCATTTTCATCACTGTTATGCTAACTCTGTTATAAATACTCTTTTTGTTTTTGATGTATTCACTTGAGAATTCATTTGTGAACATTTTGACACCATATTTATAGTGTCATTCACCAAATGAATGAATTAGAAAACATAAAATGATTGTAAACATTTTTCACATCACTGAGCAGCCCGTGGAGCCCAGAACGTTTACTGTTGGGAACACACATTAACCGAAAAATAGTCTTTGTAATCTGTTGGCAGCCAAACTAAGCTCATTTGGATGCTTTGTTTCCATGTAGCTATTGTGTTGTACACTAGTCTCCTGCAAGGAGACTAGTGTACTGGGGCTTGGGGAGTAGGAGGAGGAGGAAGAAGAACCCAGAACCCCATCAAGCAGGTTAAGCAGGAGTTACTGTGACAGAGCAAAAATATACAATCTACCCATCCTTCTGTTACTCGTTTGATCTCTGCAGCTTGGATGTATACCGTGGCCATATACGGGCTCTCTCTGTGAAAAATTTATTTGTTTAATATACTGTTGATATTAGGGGAAGCGTTTTAATTATAGTTGACCAAAATTTCTTAAGTACAGTACATTAGGACACAAAGATCAAAATTTAAGTTTTTTTCTTGCATGTTACACTAAGTACATTGACCTTAACACTTCGGCTTGGTAACGACGCAGCATTGCATCGTTCTTTTACTAGGGGGTAGTCCGGTAACGACGCAGCATTGAGTCGTTCTTTTACTAGTGGGTAGTCCGGTAACGACGCAGCATTGCGTCGTTTCCGGCGGCAAATTGGCGGCAGCTTCGGGAGGGGGCACACCAAAGTTTTGGACATTATATGCATATACATCTGTAGGGAATTTCATTGCGAATACATTGATACCAATATGAAAAAACTAGGACCAGAATTGAGGTAACAAAGTTGAAGAGTATACCCATTTTATTGCTATTTATTAGCACTCACTGTGGTAACGCACCGTCACGTTCTCGGTTTGCTGTGGGTGGGACGCCGGGGTTTTGTACTTTATATTTGCATATACTCCTGTAGGGAATTCTATTGTGAACACAATGACACCAAAATGAAAGATCTAGGACGAGAATTGAGATCTCCAAAGTGAAGAGAGAGTACACATTTTATTGCTCTTGCATGCCCCCGGGGTAACACGCTCTCACTTTCTCGCCTGGCTTTTGGCCTTTATATGCATTTAATCCTGTAGAGAATTCTATTGCAAACACATTGATACCAAATTGAAAAACCTAGAACGAGAATTGAGATGACAAAGTTGAAGAGAGTATACACATTTCGGTATGACCATGCTCTCTATTGTAATGAAAGGCGTGCCTTGGGGTGGTGCAGCGTTCTCTTTCTGGGAATTTTCATCTTGTCGGCGGGTGGAGCGCGCCGCTGTTTTTGACATAATATGCATGTACTTCTGTTGGGAATTCTATTGCTTTTACATTGATGCCAAAATGAAAGACCTAGGACGAGAATTGGGGTAACAAAGTGAAAAGAGTATACACATTTTATCGGTCTTGCGCGCTCCCGGGTAACACGCTCTCACTTTCTCTGTTTGTTGTGGATGGTATGCTGGGCATTTGGACTTAATATACCTTTAGTCCTGTAGAGAATTCTATTGCGAACACAATGATACCAAAATGAAAGACCTAGGACGAGAATTGAGGTGACAAAGTTGAATACTGGAGGGCCAGGTCCCAAATCTACACAGTAAAATAACAACATACTGTATTGGAGTGAACGATATGGAAGAAAATGCAGGATTGAACCAGTGAAGAGCAGAGGTGCCATAGGCACAATCAGAGAACACTGTATAAACATCAGAGGTCCGTGGTTGTTCAACGTCCTCCCAGCGACTATAAGAAATATTGCCGGAACAACCATGGACATCTTCAAGAGAAAACTGGACTGTTTTCTAAGAGAAGTTCCAGATCAGCCAGGCTGTGGTGGGTATGTGGGTCTGCGGGCCGCTCCAAGCAACAGCCTGGTGGACCAAACTCTCACAAGTCGAGCTTGGCCTCGGGCCGGGCTTGGGGAGTAGAAGAACTCCCAGAACCCCATCAAGCAGGTATCAAGCAGGTAAAAGATTACTGTATATACTTTTCAGAATTACCGCGCGCTCCCGCGGACTGCCCAAACCCACCCGGAGTAGTGTGGTGCATGCTCGCCCAGAGCATCGAAGTGTTAACATGACACAATCAAGGCATTGGAAAGAATGTTTTGATTGCTAAATATATTATATACAGCATAAAAGTGTTGTTGTAAACCATTTTTCTAATGCTTTTATTCCTTTCACAGCATTGAAAAGGTGCCTAAAATAACATCACCGGTACTTGTTATCCATGGAACGGAAGACAACGTAGTAGATTTTTCACACGGCCTGGCCATCCATGAACGTTGTCCCCGAGCTGTGGAGCCACTATGGGTAGAGGTAAACTTCCCTGCTTAACTTCTCATTCATAATGAATACTTGAAGATTTGTGTATTCATTTAGATATATTTTAGTTTTGATTTACATTCTTTTTAAATCTTTACAGACATAATTCATAGACAATTCAGACATAATTTGTAAGAGGACAGGTTGAATTGACAACAGATTTTAAAGGTTTCCCACGAACCTGTACTTTTTGGGATAGAATTATAGAGACTTGTAGGCACTTATTCTAGTCAATTTCACCCATTGCTTTATTTTTCCAAAAGAATTCAGTTTTGTAAATATTGAACACTTGTTAAATCATCAAACACTTCTTGCTTTCTCCTAAATGATTAAAATTCTGGTAGGATTTCTGTAACAATTCTGCTCCTCGATCCATAATATCAGCAGGCTTGACCATGTTAGAAATAACGAGTTAATTTCTTTGTTGCTGCTGCTGTTGATTTCATTGGTGCTGATCCCTTCACATATTCTGAAATTTTAGTTTTGTCCTTGATAATATTCTCAGTTGTGGAGCAGCTAACACTAAACATGCATGTGATTTCTGATGGTGTTCCTCTCTTCCCAGAAGGTTTAATTATCACTTCTCATTACTAAGGTAATAATAATAATTCCCATTGTCGGCGACAGGAAGCCTGTATGTAGGCTTATCGAGGTACCTTAAACTGCACATGGCTTATATATACGTCATAGGGTGCCAGGCACGATTCAAATGGCCCGCGGCTACACAGGGTTCACATTAACTTCCTCAGGGCTCTTGTAAACAGACTCCATTTTTTGTTTTTTAAATCGTGGGCAATATTCTCCGGTGTGAGAGCCACAGTACTGTTGGAGCAACCAAGGCTGGCGCATGCAGCATGAGCGAACAGCATTGCTGTTCAGCTTGTGACCACAGCATCGCCAAAAAATGTCAAAATAAATATACAGTATAACTGCTATTATTTAGCGATGACAGTATTACAAATGACCCTCCTGACTGTGGTAAAAATTACCAGGATTGTGATAATAGCAGGATTGTTGTGATAATTAGCGCTGTGGGAGGAGTGATGCTGTGGGACGGAGGGAGATAGCATCGTTTACTGACTATGTGGCTACCTGTTATAGTTTGCATTCACCATACCAACTCAGTGGTTCTCTATGGTGAACACAAATGTAGATACTTATATATAATGTGTGTACATAATAACAGCAAAAGGATTATGTTGGAAGGAGCCATTTGGGTGACAGAGATGGCGTCGTCTGTATGACTTGTCTAGCCGTGTAGAGGGTGGCCACTATGCTCTTTTGGCACCCTACAACCTTAAGTGTACAGTTATGGTGCATACAGCATGTAGATACTTATATATAATGTGTGTATATAGTGTAATAACACTGCAAACAGTATTGTTGGGGGAGAAATTTAGTACGTGTGACCTTAAATGTGTGAGGGAGACAGCCGCCAGCTGACTGTGTGTAGTGACGTCTTTTAGTGTCTGAACTAACTATATCAGCTTAATTGTACAGTTGTGTTGAACAAAACATGTAGATACTTATATATAACGTCTGTATATAGTGAACAAAATAAAAAACAGGATGGTGGGAGGAGAAAGTGGGCGAGTGAGGTGTTGAGGGAGTGATAACGAGTGGCTGGCTGTGTGTGGCGGTCACTCCTCGTTGCTTTTCGACTCACAGTACTAACTTAGTGGTTCATTATGGTGAACAAAGCATGCAGATACTTATATATAAACTGTGTATAGAGTGTAATAACAGCAAAACTATTTGTTTATTGTTTTTGAACATAATAATTGAATCACTAATATGCACACCATACTTTTGAGTATAGCAATGATTCACCTCTTTTATTATATAAATATATCACAGTACACACTATTGAATGATATTACTGAAAAAAAAAAAAAAAAAAAATCAATTGGAGACATTGAAATAATTAGGTAATAATATCTTTGTGGCAACTCCCACCTGTCAGCGCGGGTGACGCTGTCCGACTCTGACGACCACTGTCAACGCCCACATTTTGCCAGACTTCCTCAGCCTATTGCGCCCAAAATATGTCACCTACGATTTTTTTCCCCCGTGCTCAGGGAACACAAATTAACATTTTTAGAAGAAGAAATAATTTTTTTAGACTTTTTGTTTTTCTTGCGCTCAGGAGTGTAAATCTCCTCAGGACTCCTTAGCAGCTTAAGGGTTAGGATGCAACCCTCAATAATTGCTTAACTTCTGGTTTCCTATTTACTGCTAGGTGAAAGGAAACGAGTCCAACCATTTCTGTCCTACCTGGGGATTGTGAAATGAGGATGTAGACCACCATACTACAGGACCCTATGGTCTTGCTCTCGTTTTCCTTGGCTCTGGTGCACCAACACACTTATCAAATTTATTAAGGGGGGTTTTCCTCGTACAGAAATAGAGTAGTCCTTTGTATGCACAGCGGGTCTACGTACGACACGAGAGTAATTGCTGGCAGGGTAGCTCGAGTTGCATAACATTTTCCATGCAGACTTGCAGACATAAAGTAGCACTTCATAATGAGAGAAGTTGGTTCGTAGATCCGAGCGAGACCTAGAAATGGGGGGCTTGGAAGTTTGTCCTGAAGACAACCTGAAAAGATGGTAGTACACCAAGTCCCAAAAGTTTAGGCATGTGCTACTGGTTATGAAAACGTCCAGCCTTGTAGGGTTGTATAGAAATCAGTCCAGACCCTCATGGCATGTCTCAGTCTGCACTGCCTCCTCCGCTAGACAGGAGGGAGGCCAGTCTGTTGAGAGCCATACATGTTCTACTTTTCAATCATTTTACTGCAGGAATATAGTCTGCTGGTCCTTAAAATAATCGATGTTCACAATGTGTCCTTACCGTACATCGTGTTAAAAGTTCTGAGTGTTAAATTTTGTAAAGCCTGTAGAATGAGGGCTTTTACTCCCTTTATGGTCCTAAAATGCCTTTTTCACTCAACTTTTTCAACATTCACTTACTCCTTGGTCAATTTACAGACTGACCAAAATCTGGTATTGGGTTATCTTGTTATTTTACCTGATATAACCTTATGCTCATATGAGCTGCATGCCTCTCGTAGGGTGACTAGGCCTTCTGTAATTTCCCCAGTTCTTATGTTCCTACCGTATTCAGTTATATAATCTGATACAGGTACATTCCATGAGCAATGATCATTTATTATTGTAGTTGACTCTCAAAGTACTCTAATAACCCTGGAGCTTCTAAAAGCTCTTCTCATCCCATATTAATGGAAATTCAACAATGGCTGTTTCTCATCTTTAGCAGGTATTAGAGAGTGCAGTTTTACAGGGTACCAGTATTGGTAGTGTCTCTAACGACCAAGCAGAAGCTGCTGCTGAAGATATTTACATCCGTCTCGTCTCCCAGAAGCCAATTCATTACTCAAATTTCGACCATGTTATTCATGATGCAATCTGCAACCATTGGAAAGATTGATGGTTAGCTACTATAAATTACATACAGAACCATCATATGTGATGTATCCTCATGGACTTCTTCCTATCCCTAAAATTCGAAGTGGGAAAACATCTTTGGCCGTGTTATGTATCAGCCATAGAATATTAACTCCTGGGCACTTGATGGAACACAGAGCCGTGCTTGACTGTCAGAAGTGTGTTGTTCATCTTAGTCATATGTCGCCTAGTAGAATGTCCTTTTTTTTCAGTATGATGCAAAATTTTACTTTCCCACCATTCCAGTACACCAAATATCTATTGATATATATAAATCGTCTGTGAATCTGACTGCGTTGACATCGATCATATTATGTCTTTCTGATCTTGCATTTATGCAGCCTGAATATTTCTTTTTTTTTTTAATATTTTCAGTTCTTTTAAATAGCAGTTCTTAAATATTATGCAACCTAAATAGTGCTATATAGCCATACTGGTTTAGCAGTTTCTTTTGAAAATTACTTGTATTATAATTTAAGTGAAAATTATCTTTTATGCAGGGTGCTGGACACAATGATGTAGAGTTGTACAGCCAATACCTTGAGCGACTGAAGCAGTTTGTGTCGGTGGAGCTGGTTAATTGACGTCTTGGGGAGGCCCCCCCTCCAACAAGCCAAGGGGGGCTCAATCATCATCCACGTAGCACTGCTGCTTATAGCGGATCGACATCACGTGGGGCCAGTGAGGGTCTGCTGTTAAGATGCTGGGACACTGAAATGGGCATGATTGCTACCGAGGGCATGTTTGCAACTGAGGGTGTCATGGCATCTGAGGGAAGATTGACAGCAGCTCTTGCTACGCCAACTCTTTCTACAGTAGAGACCTCCTCTGGCCGTGCCACACCTACAAACATCACCACTATTGCCTCCAAGAGTCCAGCCAAACCATCTCCTAAACTACCAAGAGCCTCTGCTACACCCTCCCCATCTCCCTCGGCCTCATCAACTAATCAACCACCTAACCAACAAGACTTGCCATCCCTCCCTCAAGATGCCTCCTCTATTACCCTCTCTACTACTCTGCTACAACAACACCGTCGTCATCATTCACGATCTAGCTCAGCAACAGAAAAGTTACTGTGACCTCTGGAGTCTTTAGTCTAATCTATATTGTGTATAGTGAGCAGATTCAGGAAATATGCTAGTGAAGGTTGACATCCTTTGTAACTGTCTATGATATATGCCTCTTGTCATAGTTTAATGTTACGAATTTCAGTTACTAGTGAAGACGAAATAAACGTGACTCCCAAATGCACGGAGAGATGCCTTTCTTGAAAATGTTTGAAAGTGATTGGATTAGAGTAAGAGAGTTAGGGGCCATGACTGTGTAGCAGAAACATTAGCTGGCCTCCCTCATGGAAATGACTTGTAACTAAGGACCGTGTTTGCATGTTGCATCTCAGGTCTTGGGTCGGTGAGGTTTCGTAAATTATGACCTGGATATTTAAGGTCACTTTATTTATTTTTTTATGTAACTCGTACACCTTTGTTTAGAGAGCCATCACAAATTTTATATTGTGAACGTGTATGAACAAGTGCAGAAGACTGTTACTCTAGATGATGAACTAGTTAAACAATATGAAGTTACAGTGTTAAAGGAGTATTATCCTTGAATGTCAGGGCTTATATTGTGTGAGAAGAAATTGTGGTAAATAATCCTTGGCAGCTGCAGGTATAAGTGTCTGTGGCATGCTGACCAATTGCGTTTTGAGTTGGTGTTTTGTATGTCCGTGTTTGATACATTCAGGTCATTAGAGCTAGTACCGTACATTGCAAATAATAAGACTGATTTTTTTTTTAAAGAACCCCTGTAGTATTGTTTTCCCTTAAACAGGTGGTCTACTGATGTAATCATTACAGTAATCACCCTTATGAATATGAACGTATGCAAGATTTGCTGAATTAATATTACATGTCATTACTAGTGAAACTCCTGTACTGATTTAAAGCTTTTTGTTGAGTTAGGAATTAATTTGATTGATTACTTTTTATATGGCAGGCAAATTGAGGATTGCATAATGATTTTTTTTTTTTTTGTTGGGAGTGTGTTCATAGATCAGGATTTGTAAACCAAAAGTGTTCGTTAATAATGCTGTGGGGTACTGAGACACTGGTTAAGTACATTTTTACTTTTCAAAAATCAATAAGTTTGAATAACTGGCATTCAGTTCAATCAGAAAAATGGTAATTTGTTTGAATACAAACTACATTTTGAAATTGGCATTTGCCCAACACAGTATTTTTCCCATTACACCTCTGAAGTATAGGAGTTGTTGAAATTGATTATTGTTTACAAGAAATTTTTTGGGTTACTGCTATTCATTGTCTTAACTTTGTTTTCTTAAGAGTTGTGGTATTAGTAAGTGTGTAGAGAGCTGCTGTTTCTTGAAAACATTCTCTGCATAAGAGATGTTTGGTCCAGCATACATATGATTGCCAGCTGTTCTGAAGATGTGTGGCTTGGAAATATCTTTAGATTATGGAGTTCATTATATACAACTTTGTCTTTATATACATTTATAGAAATATGTGAAATTTTGCTATGAAATATCCTGACAGTAAGATAGGTGCGTGGTGCCATTAGTTGACGTGTGTAACTGAATGAGACATGTTTATATGGGATGAATGAGCATGTAGAAATCTCCATTAATTGTTATTAATAACCAAGTTCACCTAAATCTGCATCATTTTGACATTTAAGTAACATACTTTTGAAGTGTTGATAAAGTACAAAAAGTGACCTCCATAAGATGGAAGAGAGACTACCAAGGACAAGTTTGCACTTCAACAGTGATGGTTTGTCTTCCCAGTACCCGAAACTTGTAAATCTAAATAGGAAAAGTGGTTGGGTGGACTGGCTGAAGTAACAGTAAGGGTCCTTGCACTTCATTTATACAGCAGTACCTTACTCATTCAGCTTCCAGTAAACCCGAACCCTTTGCCAGCAGGTTAGTTAATAACAATGATCGTAATTGGATGTCTCTGATCTGATGAAGTGTATCATCATTAATGCTATTGGCATAAGTGAAACTCCTCCTGGAAGCTGCTGCAGAAAAAGTACAGAATATGGGCATTTGTGTCTTACAGCAATTGAGAGATTATTTTTCAAGTGGTATTTGAAGGATTGCGAGAGGCCTAAATTGCATTCATTGCGTTTAAAAGTCTAGAACTCTAGATGCACCGCTTAATTTTAAGGTCAAATTGTCTGAGTTGATTTGAGTTTCATAGTGATGAGTAGTGCAATTTATTTGATAAAACCTTAATTTTTGAGATAAGCTTTAATCTTGAGAAATCTCACGGGACTGCCAGCTTATTGTTACGTTTCCTCTCATTTTTGACCCCATTGGTTCTTGTTGCCTTTACAGCATTTGGATACTCGTAGTGGCAGTTATACCTTACATTCACTTTGTTATTGTATTTATATTTATTTCTCATGGCAATTGCTATGATTGTTTACACATTTCCCTTGGATATCTTTTTCCTTATGAATATTTCACAAGTGTTTTATTATTATTCTGGCATTCTGTAGCCATCATCCTTCATATTATGTACTGTCATTATTATTATTATTATTTTTTTTTTATACTCGAAATGAAGTATTAGGCGTGTTGTTTATGGTATTGGTCAGAGCATACACAAAGTATGTAAATATTTTTAGATTTATATGTCGTACATACATTTTCATAAATTTGTGAAACTTTCAATATTCGTTTGTTGTCCCTTTCATAACTCTAAAACTAATATTTTATTTTAATGTATTTTCCTAATTTGTAACTGAAATAGGAAGAAATGCTACAAATACATATTATTCTATTTTGTTCATACTCTAATGGTATTGTTCTTGGTTTCCTGTATGTAATCCCATTAGATCTTAATTTTTCCAGAATATTTATCAAACATTTGTCTTAAGCCTCATATTTGCAGATATACTCGCAGAATGATAAAATGTGATTTTTTGAAGAAACTTGGTGTTCATGTTATAACAACATAAAACCTTAAGCAAAAAAAACAAAAACAAAGTTTTTTTGTGACATAGAGTACAAAATAGTGTTCTCCTCAGGATGGCGGAGCAGGGCGGCAACAAGAGCCTGAAGGTTTGGGTTACGAGAGTAATACAATATAGTATAGCAATGGAAATGGTGGACGTGTTGGATGAATCAACGTTGGCTAGTTTCGGGGAGAAGCGTGTAATCTTTACAATGTTGAGTGTGTGTGTGTGTGTGTGGAGTAACAACACATTGGGATGATTGTGCTGATGTTTGGAAAGTATTGTATAGTATGATGTACTATACTATACAGTACATTGTAATTACATTTAAATTGCCTAGACAGACATGGCACCTTTGGAGAATAGTGATTCATCGTTACTAAGGTTATCTGATTTCTTACAGACAACTCAAGTTATCTGATAAATCAATTTTGGAAATCTTGACAACCTACATTAATATCCCTTTGAAAAAAAAATTCTTTCGGTAAAACTTACATATTATTTCTGATGAAGAAATATATTGTGTTATTCATGTGTGTAAAATCTTCATGTGTGGATTTACTTGTGCATGTGTACATGTAATATATACATATACATTGCCAATACAGTGAATTCATTAATCATTTATTTCAAAGTTAAATAGATATTAATATGATAATTGATTGCAAATCATTGTTACTAGTTTTACTAACCAAACTCGGCTTAGCCTAATTTTTTATGACATACTATTCTCAAATAATTGAGAAGTTGTAGTAATATAACTGGGACACTAATTGAATTTAGCATATGTTAATGTTATGAAAACTTAACACTTTGATGCTCTGGGCGCGCATGCGCCACACTACTCCGGGTGGGTTTGGGCATTCCACGGGAGAGCACGGTAATTCTGAAAAGTGTATAATCTTTTCAACTTTGTTACCTCAATTCTCGTCCTAGGTTTTTCAATTTGGTATCATTGTGTTCGCAATAGAATTCTCTACAGGACTAAAGGCATATTAAGTCCAAATGCCCAGCATACCATCCACAACAGAGAAAGTGAGAGCGTGTTACCCGGGAGCACGCAAGACCGACAAAATGTGGACACTCCTTTCACTTTGGTCACCTCAATTCTCGTCCTAGGTCTTTCATTTTGGTATCAATGTGATCGCAATAGAATTCCCAACAGGAGTATATGCATATAATGTAAATAACAGCGGCGCGATCCACCCGCCGACAAGATGAAAGTTACCAGAAAGAGAACGGTGCACCACCCCAAGGCGCCTTTCATTACAATCGAGAGCGCGGTCATACCGAAATGTGTGTACTCTCTTCAATTTTGTCATGTCAATTCTCGTCCTAGGCATTTCAATTTGGTATCAATGTGTTTGCAATAGAATTCTCTACAGGACTAAATGCATATAAAGCCCAAAAGCCAGGCGAGAAAGTGAGAGCGTGTTACCTGGAAGCGTGCAAGAGCAATAAAATGTGTACACACTCTTCACTTTGAACATTTCGATTCTCGTCCTAGATCTTTCACTTTTGTGTTATTGTGTTCGCAATAGAATTCCCTACAGGAGTATATGCAAATATAAAGTCCAAAAGCCCGGCATCCCACCCACAGCAAACAGAGAACGTGGCGGTGCGTTACTGCAGTGAGCGCTAATAAAGAGCAATAAAATGGGTATACTCTTTTCAACTTTGTTACCTCAATTCTGGTTCTAGGGCTATCATTTTGGTATCAATGTATTCGCAATGAAATTCCCTACAGGTGTATATGCATATAATGTCCAAAACCACGGCACGCCCCTCCCGAAGCCGCCACCGGGAACAACGCAATGCTGCGTCGTTACCGGACTACCCCCGAGTAAAAGAACGACGCAATGCTGCGTCGTCACCGAGCCAAAGTGTTAAGTTTCTCAGGATTATATAGAAAACACTGAAATTTTCCCTGATTGACAAAATGTCTGTTGATAAATCTCATTAGTGCATTCATACAATAGATTTATATGTATACCTATATTTTTTTGTATATTGCATAATAGAGAAGAAAATCCTAATAAATATTTAGGGAGGGAAAACAGTGAGGAATTCTCCATATCAAATAACTTAACTCCCACGTGTGAAATGAGAGGAAAGTGACAGTGTTTCAGTCTGGCCTGGACACTTACCAGTTTGGACTTGATAGAGAGTCCAGGATTGGCCAAAACGTTGTCACTCTCCCTTTATGTGTGGGTTGGATCATTTGTTTTCTGGCACATTACTGTGCCTTACTTTCTGCTCTCTCTCTACCTCTTTTAATATCTTCTCTGAGTCCTTAAAATATTCCCAATGATGGTACTCGCATTATATATATATATATATATATATATATATATATATATATATATATATATATATATATATATATATATATATATATATATATATATATATATATATATATATATATATAATAATTTTTATTATTGTGTGTGTGTATGTATGTATTGTATAAATATATACACATTGGCACCTCCAAAATCTGGATCATATTAGTCTGGACCTGATTGAGGTTTCCGTGAAATCTGGATATCCGAAAACATTTCGGATACAGTACAGTACAGTATATTTATCTCGAACATTTCCTAGTTTCCTTACAGCAAATGATACAATGCATGTTTCTGCATGTCTGTCTATACATTCAATCAATTTATACAAATAATTAATAAACTATGATTTTCTTGCCATATCAATAATATACAGTATACAATATTTTCTACAAAATACAAAGTATATATATTTTCTCACTTTTTTGAAGCAATATGCATTTACAATATTATTATTATCATGTCAAACTTCTGCAGCAACCCTGAAGTTGACTTTTGAAGTCCTCAAAGCCCATAGTTTGTATTATTTTTGGGGGGATAAAAGCTATGAGTGTGCGCGACCAACAGCTAACCCCCCCCCCCCCAGGCTACAGTGCTGTGTAAACCTCTGGTAAATAGCTTTATTTGGTTCTCTGTACAGTACTTTGATGGTCTCAATGTTTTTGTCATTGCTCTTGTGCCATTAGCCTCCCTGTTCATCACTTTGCTCATGTCTTGCTACTCTGGTGATGGCATTTTGAAGACACAAAATATAAAATATTATATAAATTATATTTTAATATTACAGACTCCACAATATTGTTGGATATAACATTTGATTATCTTGGATTTTTAGGGTGATTAAGCTAGGACCTGTAAAGTATGAGGCTATTGCTCCTTCAACCAAGCCAGCATACTCACATAAGGATGGTTTCAAAAAGTAACTACTGTACTGTACTTGGATAATTAACCTTCCTGGGGAGCCGGTGGCTGAGCGGACAGAACACTGGGCGCGTGATCCTGTGGTTCCGGGTTCAATCCCGGACGCCGACGAGAAACAATGGGCAGAGTTTCTTTCACCCTGATGCTCCTGTTACCTAGCAGTAAATAGGTACCTGGGAGTTAGTCAGCTGTCACGGGCTGCTTCCTGGGGGTGGAGGCCTGGTCGAGGACCGGGCCGCGGGGACACTAATCCCCGAAATTATTTCAAGATAACCTTAAGATATTCCATGGAGCACCACAACAGAGGTTATAACCCACCCTTTGTCTATGATATATAAACTGAAAACCCACAGTATCATGGGTAGTAACATTTCATTTGCTTGGGCAGTCTAGGATGGAATGGTTCTAAGTAAGCCAGGATTCTCTCAACTTGTGTATACAGTATATGCATCATTACATACCTTATTACCCAGTTTTCCACTTAATTGGATTACCTCTGGAGCATACCTGGAAAGGGCTTTGGGAGTTCTTCGCCAGATTCGAAGAGGAGAGGCACAAGCCCAGAGAGAAAAAAGTGAGGAATAAAGTAAATGAATATTTTAATATTAAATAATACAAACATTTAAAATATCTAATGTCCATTTGTAATTTCACTAAAAATGCAATGTAGTGCATCACTCCAGGAGGCAGATGTAGTGTTCCTCATAACATGTCATATATACAGTATTGTACAGTAGATATAAATGCATTTACTCCCTCACAAACTGCTTCCACCCTGTAAGGGCACAAAGCATGTTTGTTACTCATACTTTGTACGAGAGGGTCGAGTCCGCCTCGGGGGTATCAAACAATGCACTCAAATAGCACATATTATACCTTGTACTTAATTAGATGTACCTTCATGGCAGAACTCGTCCCTCTCACTTCTAGGAATACAGAACAAAAGACCAGGTTAAATAATAGGTTTGAAGTTTAAAACTTTGTTTATTTTAAGAGCTTTTATGAATTAATTTCATGAAGCTATATTCCTTTATCTTTAACATTTCTGGAATTCAGAACATAGAATGGGTTCTAAGATAGGAACTAGAATTGTATGGCAGACCAGGACTTCATCACTGTAAGGAGCCGGTCGGCCGAGCAGACAGCATGCTGGACTAGTGATCCTGTGGTCCCGGGCACCGGCGAGAAACAATGGGCAGAGTTTCTTTCACCCTATGCCCCTGTTACTTAGCAGTAAAATAGGTACCTGGGTGTTAGTCAGCTGTCATGGGCTGCTTCCTGGGGGTGGAGGCCTGGTTGAGGACTGGGCCGCAGGGACATTAAAGCCCCGAAATCATCTCAAGATAACAAGATAACTTCATCAACAAGGGGGTATAATATTCAATCCTTCACAATTTAAACATTTGAATTTTCATTAGTTCAAAGTGTACAGTTGACAATCTTTTCATTT